AAACTATTCCTATATATTATAGGAACCATTCCTATATATTATGGGAATCATGCCGATATTACAGTTATAATTATAGGTATCGTTCCTATAATTATAGGAACCATTCCCATAATTATAGTAACATTTCCCAAAAATTATGGGTATAATTCCCATAATTTAAGTAATCGCTCCTAAAATGGTATAGGAAAATATTTAATTAAAATTATAGGAATGATTTCCATATTTTTCTCTCCGTGTACCTAAAAAATGATCGCAATAATAATGTAAAAAGTATAAAACAGAGGGCTATATTTTTTATTAGTCAATTAAATGTTAATAATTATTTAATGAGTAAATTTATCGGAAATTTCCTCAAAAATATTATTAATTAATTTAAAAATTAATTTTAAAATACCAAAAGTATTTCTACGTATTATTTTATTAAGGATATTCTTTAGACTAGACAGGTACTTGGATCTCCTTAAAGATCTATATCTAATGAATTATTAGTTTTAGGAAGAAACTAATTTAAGTGTTGCTGAAATAAAATTTTCTTAAAACGATAAATGTAAAGTTACATTAATAAATAAATAAAAGAAAAATAAAATTAAAACGTGATTTAATTTATTTAAACCCAACTGAAAAAAATACAATTAAATGTAATTTAATTTTTACGCCGGCTGAAAGTGAACCGCAAGCTCCTCCAAACTCTTCGAGCGAGGGACAAATTTTTCTTCCTTTTAAGGGTACTCATGTCACCTTCAAGCGCACTTGGGCCTTCTGGAGCAACTGGACCCGGTAAATTTTCCGCGGGCAGCGGAATGTTCTCCACGCCGTCTCCCTGGCCCTTGATGACCCCTTTAGCGGCCTCTGTCTTAAAGTTCTCGACGGCTTGCTTCACCTGGATCTCCAAAGGGGACTTGTTCATCGAGACGACGTAATCTCCGATCTGGACGCCCTCCAGGTCAGTGCAGAGACCCTCCGCAAGTTCCGCGACCTTTTGAAGGATCTCGGAGATGCTCGTGTTTGAATTTCGGGGGCTCAATGTTTCGTCTGTTTTTTGTATTTTGTTTAAATTAATAAACTTATTTTATTTTACAGATTTTTAATTATTAAATTTATTATTATTATTATTATTATTATTATTATTATTATTATTATTAATTACCTGGAGAAGGTATTGAATTATCTACGTTGATCATAATTACTTCTACGAGATCTTTGGCAACAGAATCTGGATTTTCAGACATTGCTTGTCAATTTACTTTATTTATTTTATTGATTTATTTTTATGACAGATTGTTAAGATCTGAAGTTTTCTGTTTTAAATAAAAAATATTCATTGTTTTGTTTTTTAATATCTGTTTTTATTTTAAAAAAAATATTAATAAATAACTAGCAACGTTGCAGTCACTATGTGACTGCCGTGATTTGTACACTAAAAATAAATAAAATTTTGGTTTTTTTAATAATGTATTTTGTTAAATTGCACTGTACTTTCTTAACTATTGGCATTTATAAAGATGATAAGCTCATCCCAATGTTCTACTCATCAAGAGCTTTCATTCGAGTACCCACATGCATTTTTGATATATTTTTCATATATACATATATATAATATATATAAATATATAAAACATATGAAAAATTGATGTGGGTATTCAAATCAAAGGTCTCGATGAGCATATCATCAGGATGAGCTTATATCTTTAAAAATGTCAATAGTTCACAAGATACAACGTAATTTGTTAATTACTGACATTTTTAAAGATATAAACTCATCATGATGTTACACTCATCAAAAGCTTTCATTTGAGTACCCACATGCATTTTTGATATATTTTTCATATATACATATATATAATATATATAAATATATGAAAAATTGATGTGGGTATTCAAATGAAAGGTCTCGATGAGCGTAACATGGGGATGAGCTTATATCTTTAAAAATGTCAATAGTTCTCGAGATACAAAGTAATTTCTTAATTACTGACTTTTTTAAAGATGTAAACTCATCCCGATGTTACATTCATCATGAGCTTTCATTTGAATATCCACATGAATTTTTTATAAATATATTATATATATTTATATATATAAATATATAAAATATATGAAAAAGTGATGTGGGTACTCAAATGAAAGGTCTTGAAGAGTGTAATCTCAGGATGAGTTTATATTTTCAAAAATGTCAATAATTCTCAAGATACAAGGTCATTTCTTAATTACTGACATTTTTAAAGATATAAGCTTATCCCGATGTTACACTCATTAAAAGCTTCCATTTGAGTACCCACATGTACTTTTGATATATTTTTTATATATACAAATATCTATATACAAATATATAAAATATATGAAATATTGATGTGGGTACTCAAATGAAAGGTCTCGATGAGTGGAACATCAGGATATGCTTATACCTTAAAAAATGTCAATAGTTCACGAGATACATGGTCATTTCTTAATTATGTATCTAAAGAAAGAGCATTTTGAATGCAGCCTAAATGACTATCGTATAAAATAAAAATAACTCTTTTTGTTCCTTTAAAAATCCAAGAAAATGATCCTATTGACCCAAAAACATGAAACAACCCCCCCCCCCGAAAATGCGCACGCAGAATCCACGCTACATTCCAGGTTGGTCCAGAGAGCAGACTCACCCAAAGATCGATCAACTTCGGCGCACCGAGAATCCTCGCCTGGAAAAACACTGGGGATTCCCGCAAGCGCACTGGAGATTTCTCTCCTCGCGGACGTCGAATGGCAGATCCCATCGGGAACTCGAGTGCGCCTGGAATCTGTTCTGGTGAATTTTCTCGCCCCCCAACCCGCCCTGAAAAGTGTGCCAGTAGGCCGAGAGCCGCACGTGATTCCCATAATTTTTCTCCTGCGCTCTCTCCAAAAAATTCATCCCTTAAAAATAAAAATAATTAATTTTTATCGAAGCTTAAATTACAATTTTATCTCTTGAAAATTTTTTAATAATATAAAGTGCGACAAAATGGACAACCGGAGATCTTTTGATAGCGGATTGATGGAACAAGCTCTGCCCATCCCAGTTCAACTTTATCTTTGGCGTCAATTGAGGTAAATATTTTTTTTTTTAATTGAATTTTTATTTAATAAATTTTATTTAATTTAATAAATTAATTTTTTCAGACCATTTACGCGGGCCAAGCTTGGAAAATTACACGAGGCATCATGCACAGTAAGTTCTTTAAATTAAAGCCTTAAATGTTACCCTGATATTAATATTAAATATTATCACTATTTTTATTTTCAGTTTTGTCAAAATGCGCCTGGCCATCATGTAAGAATTTATTTATTTTATTTTATATATTAATTAAGATTTTTTTAATTATTAATTATAATAACTGTTTTTTTTTTTTTTATTTTTGCAGGAAATGAAAGAAGCTAGCACGGTAAAAATTAATTTTAATAAAATTTTTATTTTTAATAAAATTTTATTAAAATACTAAAGGGAGCTTGTTTGATTTCAGTCTTTTGAGAGAGTTTTGGTCCAGAGCTTACACAACGAATTGACGCCTTCACTGACAGAAATCCTAAGCACTGTTTCAAGGTGGCGGCTGATACAAACGGCTTTGCCTTATGTTCTACATTCAGCGGCTAATTTATTACACAACAAGTATTTATTAAATTTTGTTTTTCATACTTAAAAATTTTATATTATTAAAATTTGAAAATTAAATAGAAAATTTTCTATTGACATTTTTGAAGATATAAGCTCATCCTGATGTTACACTCATCAAGACCTTTCATTTGAGTACCCACATCAATTTTTCATATATTTTATATATTTATATATATTATATATATGGATATATGAAAAATATATCAAAAATGCATGTGGGTACTCAAATGAAAGCTCTTGATAAGTGTAACATCATGATGAGCTTATATTTTTAAAAATGTCAATAATTAAGAAATGACCTTGTATCTTGTGAACTATTCACATTTTTATAGATATAAGCTCACCATGACATTACACTTATCGAGACCTTTTATTTGAGTACCCACATCAATTTTTCATATATTTCATATATTTATATATCATATATATGTATATATGAAAAATATATCAAAAATTGATGTGGGTACTCAAATGAAAGCTCTTGATGAGTGTAACATCGGGATGAGTTTATATCTTAAAAAACGTCAATATTTAACAAAGTACAGGGCAATTTAACAAAAGTCATTATTTAATTTATAATTTTGTTATTAAAAAAGTTTTAATATTTTTCAGAAAAGATTTACTAAACATTGGACCAATGGAAACAACCTTGCTGTACATCCTCCACTGGTTTTTACTAGACGCCGCTGAAGAATGCGCTGAAACAGATTCTGACCTAGGATTACAAAACAATCCATTTCATTATCTCTACTCCATTCCTACAATTACTGTAATTGTTATTTTATTTTCTATAAAAATTTCCTTTCAAATTAAAATTATAAATTTTCAATTTTATTTTTTTAATTATAAATTATAAATTTTTTAGTTATTCGTGTACTTATTTGCGCCTCTGAGCAACCATCTAAAAGACATAGACTTCAAGAGCAACCTGAGGCTTGAGAACGGAGTTAAAATTTGGGAGCCAATGAACGAGTACCGGCACCCGGAAAATCCTTGTTTCACAGCTCACTGTCGACCTAAGCCTCGCTCTCTCTGGTGGAAGACTTCGAGGCTCGGAAAGCAGAGTACTGATATTTTTGTTGGGGTCAAGAAGAAAAATGAGGATGATGAAACTCCGCCGAGCCAAACTATCAGTATGTGTTTTACTGAACAGAATTTACCTGCGAATAAACAAGAAGATGATGTAAGATTTATTTACTTTTTTTTTTGCAAAAAAAAAAAATTTTATTGTTTATAATTTTTTTGAAATTTTATTTTTAGAACAATTGGGTCTCTTCACCAAAGGATACTGTTTTTCCTGAAACAATTCCTGAAGAAAGTTCAAGTACTGAAGATGAAAATGTAAGTTTTTATAAAATAAAAATTTATTATTAATTATTAACAATAATAATAATAATAATAATAATAATAAAATATGATTTTTCTTAAATAAAAAAATTATGAAAAAATATTTAATTCTAAAACAATTATTATTATTGTTATTATTATTATTATTAAATGATTTTTTAAAATAAATTTATAGGTAATATATCGAATGCCTTTTCCTGACCATGATAAAAATTCTGACGGAGTTAAAAAAGTATTTACAATATTTTCTGTAAGTATTGAAAAAAAAAAAAAAATTTTTTTTTTTTAATTATTAAATAAATATATAAAAATTTATAATGTACAAAACCTATAGGCAGAAGCGAGTATTCTTCACGTAGCCATGGGTCGCTCGAGTAAATCTTTGGAGTCAACATTAACTATCGAGCGAGTTGGATTCGACAGATCGGATGAGAAAACATTAACTACATTGCAATTTGGGTAAAATAATTAATTTAAAGAAGTCCTGATAAATCAACGCCATATGAAGATAAGAGCCTTAAATTTTATTTAATTGTAAAAAAAAAATTTACAGGATCAAAAGCAAGACAAAAGCTGATAAGAATGAAAAAAACCAAGAAAGTGTTAAACAAAAACCACCTTCAGTAACTCAAGAATCTGAACCTGAGCAAAATGATACGAGTCAGCAAAATCGTGCTACTGGAGGAGGCATTGTCGATATCCGCGCTGCTACTTTTATGGATGTCGCAGTTTTAAGATGTCTTTTTATTTCTCAGTGGCAGGAGGAAGGAATTTATTGGGCTTTGCAATTTCTATACAATCGGTGAGATAATTCTTTGAAATAATAATAATCTAATTTTGCTTAATTAAATAATTACTTTTGTTAAATTGCACTGTACTTTCTTAGCTACTGATATTTTTAAAGATATAAGCTCATCCCGATGTTACACTCATCAAAAGCTTTCATTTGAGTACCTACATGCATTTTTGATATATTTTTCATATATTCATATATATAATATATATAAATATAT